GGGGTCTCAGGGCAGGTCTCTGTGTGTGAGGAGCAGGGGTCCTGATCGTCTTCACTGGGCTGTGGGGGTCTCAGGGCAGGTCTTTGTGTGTGAGGAGCAGAGGAAGGGATGCTGATCCTCTTTCTTGTGTTTCATTGAACATGCAGTTTTCTTGTTCTTCCCCTAAGAATGAAAAATAGCTAATAGAGCCTGGTTAAAAAAAAAAATTCATCGCCATCGAGTCCACTCCAAAGCGTAGCGACCGTATAAGACAGAGTAGAACTGCCCCATAGGTTTTTTAAGGAGCAGCTGGTGAATTTTAACTGTCGACCTTTTGGTCAGCAGCAGAGCTCTTAACCACTTCACCCCCAGGGCTCCACAGTATGTAGTATGGTGTTTACCCTGAAAAGTTCTCATTTGATCCTCACAACTTGCTGCATAGGTGCTATCATGATGACTGAGCCACTGTTTACACAGAACTTTGGTTTGAAATTCAACACAAAGGGGAAACCTTGTTCCTCAAAGTACACATAATGTTCTGTGTCCACCCAGTGGAAGTACTCTCATGCCCGTGAAAGTTGCGACAATGGAAGGAATCAGAAGAAAATCTGTATGCAGGCGTCTGGATGTTTCAATAATTCTGTATTTAAGAAAAGCATCGAATCTGAGACAGAATTAAATTCTGAAACTTTTCCCTTTGCCTTACAAGGTCGAGTGTGACTTCATAGCTTGGGGTTGCAGTGTACAGTCTGCATATCAGTTATACGTAAATAAGTCAGTGCTTTATCCTCCTTTTACAGAAGAAAAATGATCAACGTAGGCGATACAGGAACTTTCTGGGGTCTCACCATTCATAAGTAGCAGAGTGAACACTTAAGCATTTTGTGGGTTCTGCATGACCATGCCAGATCCTCTCAAGTGGTATTGGCTGCCTGTAGTGCTGGAGAGAAGATTTTGAGGCCCACTCAAGGGTCTGGGAGAAGAGAGGAGTGCTGTGTTCAGTTAGTAATGTCTGCATGGGAGCTGGAAGAGGAGTCGTGGCATATAGGCCACGTCTTTGCCAGTTCTGACCTGAAAGCTGTGACTCGAAGCCCAGGCACTTTCACCTTGCCATACTTCCTTACTACCCAGTGTCACTGACCTGCGTTCATTTGCCAGTCGAAAGGCATCAACAGAGTTCCTCGTAAGAAAAATAATTAAAAAGGACATTAGAAGGGGACATTTACACTAGGCTGTATTAATTCTTGTTAGAGGGAGTGTTGCTTCAGCCAATGGAGTTAAATTAGTTAAAGTTCTTTTCAGAAAAATAGTTAGCTAATTGCTTAACTGAATTAATCACTAAAGTTTAGGGAGGAAATATTTGAATCGGTGGATAGATTCCCTAAGTCACAACCTGCATACGTTGGGAAGGGTGACATTTTTAGCTTACCTTTTATCAGATTACCCCTGTATCCTCCACTGCTCTGAAGGTAATCATAATAGAGCCCACCATTTACTCAGAGCTTTTTTTTTTTTTAACATGTATCACTCCTAGTTAATCATCACAACCATACTATGACATAGATATTGTCATAGAGAAAGGTAAGCAAATTGTTCAAGGTCAGTGAACTTGTTGGTGGAGTGGCAGGGTTCACATGTGGCCCATCTGACCCAAGTGCCTGTGCTCTTAGCCCTAGGAGAAGGGTGGTCTTGTTCTTAATCAAGTAATAATAATGGCTGATACTAGTTGATCCTACTCTGTGTAGTTCTCCTTCCTTTGTGAAAAGGAGTAGTTCCCAGGAGTTTTGTGTCCTATCCGTGCTCCCTACCTGACCTGGGTCCCCTTAGCTGTCATTTGTGCACTGGCGGAGTCACACGGGGGTGGGTGGTGTCTCAAATGACAAGTGCAGATACCGTGGCACTCCTGCCTGCAGCGCTCAGGATGCTGTTGTGATCACAGAGAAGGCATGTTAGTACAGAGCATTGCCAGTAATAAAACGTGATCGTAGAAAGATTACTGATTCTTTAAGAACCCTGCTTAGAGTTCCCCCAAGGAGGACCAGTGTGAGGGTATAGATCATGTTTGAGCTGTTACTTCAAAGAATCTAATATTTTTCACTCTGAGCAGATTCCAAAATGGCCACAATTTAGTTTGTGATGCCAGCTGATCTGATGGTCTCCAAAGTTTCTCCTGTATCAAACGGTTTGAGACATAAAGCAGAAATTCAGAGATCTTTACAGGGCTAATGCACTGAAAACCCAAAACCAAACCCATTGCTGTTAAGTTGATTCTGGACTCATAGCGACCCTATAGAACAGAATAGAACTGCCTCATAGGGTTTCCAAGGAGCAGCTGGTGGATTTGAACTGCCTACCTTTTGGTTACCAGCTGAGCTCTTAACCACTACACCACCAGGGCTCCAATGCACTGAACTAAACCAAACCAAACCCAACCCATTGCCATCTAGTTGATCCCGACTCATAGTGACCCTACAGGACAGAGTAGAATTGCCACATAGGGTTTCCAAGGAGTTGCTGGTGGATTTGAACTGCCAGTCTTTTGCTTAGCAGCCGGGCTCTTAACCACTGCACCACCGGGGCTCCAATGCATTGAAAGGTGGCCTCAAATCCACAAGACTTTTATGTAGGGTTCATTACACAGAAGACCTCGTGTGGATTTCTCCTCAAGCATAATGGTTCGTGTTGTGCTGTATGAAATTTGAAACTTGATTGGAAAATAAAACACCAATAGTGGGAATCATAATAGTAAGAGAATCAGAATAGTCAAACCTACTTGAGTGCTTGCCATGCGTGTTCAATGCTGCACGTGCCTTGCCTCACTTGATAGCCCCACGAGATGGATTCTATTTTCCCCCATTTCACAGATGAGAATGCTGAGGCTCAATGATGTTAAATGACTCCCTGGGTCACTTAGCTAATAATTACTAGAGCGTCATGCATTCACATCCAGGTCTTTCTCTAGTCTAGAGCTCATCCTCTGATTTTTATTAAAAATCGTGTCACAATTCCTAGATAAAGCCAGGGCTTAAAGCCTTTCCATTTCATGTAGTAGGTATGTCAAAGGTGCTATTCTAAATTTCCCTTTTGGAGAAAGTGGCCTTTTTTTCTTTTTCTTTTTTAAATACTTAAACTCTACTGAGCCCAAACAGGGCGAGCAATCGGAGAACAGTGTGGAATGGTAATAGCACCTGTGGCTGATTACAGGCAAGAAGGTGAAAAATTGCAGCCCTGGCTTAGGGAATGTCACAAGTGCCAGACCTCAGGGGTAGGAGTTAAAAATGAAAAGAGAAAAGAGGAGCTGAGGATGAGCTTATAAAGCCTCATAACTAGACAGGTACACGCTCATGCCTGAAATTGAATAGATGACGGTGTCTATCTGTCAGTATTCCAACTCATATCTTACTGGCTTTTACAATTTCTGGAAAAGTGAAGTTGGTCACAGAAAAATACACAAAGACATGACCGAGCCTTAAAGACGGTGTTCCGTTGTTCTTGTTAGCCTGACAGTAGCTGTGATCATAATGTATACAGTTATTGCTGAGTGGCTACGTGTGACACTGGAAGACTGGAAAAAGATTGTTACTGCCTGGTCAAACTCGAAAGAGTTTTTAAATTGTTCAGACTAGTTTCTAACCCAGTGTTTGATCCATGGCAAGCTAGTAAGTTGGAGAAGCCTCGCAGACTGTCTCCTCCCCAGGTGGAGATTCATAATGCTGATTAACATTTTGAAGGCTCTGAGAAGTTCTGCAATACAGAAACTTGTTTAATCCAGTGGTTCTCAAAATTATTGAATTCCACAAGCCGCCCCCCCTCCACACACACACAGACATACTTCTACATATTTTCTCAGGTTTCACTTATCAACAAACACTTTGGAATATGCTTTCCTGAAATATAGTAACAAAATACATTTGTCATACGAAATGAACTGAATGAACTCAGAAACACTGAAAGAGTCACCTTTCCATGACACCAAGTTCCAGAGAGAGAATATGAAGCAGGTGATGATATTTTTTTAATGTTACTGTGGTAAAATATACGTAACATATAATTTGTCGTATTAACCATTTTTAAGCATAGGATTCAGTGCCGTTAGTTACATTCACAGTGTTATGCAACCATCACCACTATCGATTTCCAAAACGTTTTCATCACCCAAACAGACACTCAGCGCCTTTAAGGTGACAGCATTTTGACAGGAACTTTCCTGAGGAAATGCTGTAACCTTTCCCCAGACTCTTCAAGGTCCTCTGTTCAGATTCCAGGCCTTGTGTGGCTTCCAGGGAGACTCTACTATACTTTTCCAGCCCAAGACGCTGGTGTGTTTTTGTGTGGGGACAGGATGCCTGCCACCCGTATCCAGGATGGAAAATAACCTTTCCACGAGGAAATGGTGACAAAGGCAAAGAGAAGGTAGACAAGACTCAAAGGGCAGATGAAAGTTCCAGCTGCCTCTGTTGAACTGGTCCCCATTTTTGCCTCACTTCCTCAGGGAAGTGAGCGTCTGCCCAATTAACTGACAGGATGAGATAAAGAATTGTTTTACAGTCTCTCGTTTAACGTGTTCCATGTTAGAACAAAGTCCCCAAAATACCGTGTCATTCTAACAGAAACTCTCAGTAGCCCGCTTTATTTTCCAAACAGTCATCTCTGACCTACTTTTGGGCAGTAGTGAGAAATTCCAAGATACACGTGTGGCCAGTACTGCTCCTTTTTTCCTGAAGATGTCTGTCCCTGCGCAGGTGTGGATGGGAGAGTTCTTGGGGCTTTGGCAGTCAGCAAACCACTTAATTTCTGGGCAGCAGAGAATTAACAATCAAGAGTAAAATCAAATGAAGATTATAAAAAAATTATCCTTTTCTGGATCGCTAAGTCTAATCAACAAAATATGTTTCAAGCTCATTTATTTACAATATTCTATTTAGTTTAAGCATTTTATTATTATTACTATTTTTATGTAAGCAACTGACCATGTTCCTGGGGGCATTAAAAGAACCAGTCAATTTGGCAAGGTATACTGAGCACCTACTGTGTGCCAAGAAAGGCTCATTATGGTACTGGGGATCCAAAGGTGACAAAGATTCGTCAATTTAAATTTAATTTTAAAAGTATATAATCTAGTTGTATAGAATGTGGTCCAAGTCTTCAAAGAACATACAGCCTTTACTCACAGATAATAACGTACACAGGGCTTAGCACACCTGAAATTCACAATTAGTGGAATCCACATTATTGGATCTTTTATTCGTTCACAGAACGTTCACTTAGCACTTTCTAGCACAGGCCCACGTAAGGGAGATTTCCTCAGGTGAGTTTCCAGTGCTGGTTCTCTGCTGAAGAATCCTGCCTGTCAAATGAAATGCTGGGTTGCATGAACCTTTAAACATAAAATTGCTTTTTTCTTTTGCTCTGTTGAATTTCTTTTTGGTTGCTTGCATTTCAGATTGGCTGTATCAGGAGAGTATCTTCACAAAGACAGAGACCCTGGCTGTCCCTCTGTGACTTCTGTACATTGGCATCCAGGAAAATGTACTGGAATAAATTTTGGTTTAAAATCGGGTTTTAGTAACTGACCGGCCTTTTGTTCCATGGTCCTTGAGTTTAGAAAGAACTCGACTCTTCACCAGTGAAGTAGAGATTGTCGTGTCTATTTAAACAAACGTTGGCTTCTCCCATTGTTCATGCACAGGTGGCACGTTGCCAGCAGGAGTGAATGCAGTGCCCAGTGTGGCTTGGGCTACCGCACGCTAGACATCTTCTGTGCCAAGTATAGCAGGCTAGATGGGAAGACCGAGAAGGTTGATGACAGCTTCTGCAGCAGCCAGCCGAGGCCCAGCAACCGGGAGAAATGCTCGGGAGAGTGTAACGCGGGTGGCTGGAGGTATTCTGCTTGGACCGAAGTAAGTCGTTGTCACTCAGAGAGAATCTTCCTCTTGGATTCCAAGTCTAATTAGTTGATGGCATCTCCTTGCAGAGCTGTGTGAAGAAGTGGACTTTAGGCTGTCTGGAAAAGAGTGCCATGATTGATTTATAATGCCTGATCCCATCTGTGCTCTGTAGAATATGATTTGTAATGTCTGACATGGGCATGGCATGTGGAAAATTGAGAGTGGTGGAACAACTCTGAGCCAATCACTTTTTCCATACCCCACAGGCCATTTCCAGCTTTATTTTCCTATGCCAGTTAACTAATGTTGACTTAACCATAAACCTGGTAAATAAATTGATAGCATGAACCACTAGTTGCCGTCAAGTCAATGCCCACTCACAGCAACCCTGTCGGTAGAACTGTGCTCCAAAGAGTTTTCAATGGCTGACTTTTCAGAAGTTGATCTCCAGGCCTTTCTTCCGAGGTACATCTGGTTAGATTCCAACCTCCAGCCTTTCAGTTAGCAGCCGGGCACATTAACCCTTTGCATCACCCAGGGACTCCAGTAACATGAACAGGCATCCCCAAGGTAACAACTAGAATCGGCCAAGGTTGTTGATGTGTCTGTTTCTTAAGGGCTGGAACAGACAAGCCAGCATCGCCAGGATCCTGAACATGTTTGAAAGGAGACTCAGCAACAATTTCATGTAAATTCTTGTCCTTACAGTGTTCTAAGAGCTGTGATGGTGGAGTCCAGAGGAGAAGGGCTATCTGTGTCAACAGTCGAAATGATGTACTGGATGACAGCAAATGCACTCACCAGGAGAAAGTCGTCGTTCAGAGGTGCAGTGAGTTCCCTTGTCCACGGTGGAAGTCGGGAGACTGGTCAGAGGTGAGCCAGGAGGGCTCTTCTTTCCCCTGGGGCATCTCCGATACACTAATTCTGGGCCTCTCCGGGCCTGGTCAAGGCTACTGCTGTCCCCTTCTCCTGCGCTCCTTGGGGAAGCAGCAGCTCCAGTCCTCCGTCTGCACGTGACTGTAGTCCTGGACGAGAGCTGCCCCCTGGTGACCTCAGAGGCACGGTGGGCCTGGCTCGGTCACCCACTACAGTAGCTTCTGTTGGTGATTTTGGAGTCCCGGTTCCTCACCTTACCTCCGCTTTGAGCCCAGCTGCGCACTGAAAGGAAACCCGGAAACCTGTTGCAGTCGAGTCAATTCATACTCATAGCGACCCTGTAGAACAGAGTAGAACTGTCCAATAGGGTTTCCAAGGAGCACCTGGTGGATTCGAACTGCCAGCCTTTTTTGGTTAGCAGCCATAGCTCTTAACCACTACACTGCCAGGGCTCCTGAAAGGAAACCAGGGCTTTATTAATTGTAGAGCCGCACTGGCTTAGATCCAAAGTCAAAATGAGGTTTCGTACTTCCTCGTCTTTGAAATAACGGAATTAGACCCCAGTGAGTGGCCTATCTGACTGACCCACCCGGTTGCTAGTTGAAGCCTGGACTGCAGAGAAGAGGGCCCCACTGAAGATTCTCACTCTGTGTGGGTCTCGTCACCTCCTTGGCGAGGCACGGGCTGTCCCTCTGTGCTTTAGCACAGGTGGAGCCAGAGACTGAGAGAGAAGGTGAAGCTTCCTTCTGGCTTAGACGGTACAGTTCAGTGCCCACTGTTAGCATAGCCCAGTGAGGTTCTCACCAAGCAGTGATTCACTCCACCTGCCTTCAAGGGGAGCAGGTAGAAGGGGACAAAGCCAGTTGCCATGGAGTCGATTCCTTCTCACAGTGACCCCGTGTGTGTCAGAGGAGAACTCTACTCCAGGGAGCTTAGAGTGGCTGATTTTTTGAAAGTAGATCGCCAGGCCTTTCTTCCAGGGCTTGTCTGAGTGGACTCAAACTGCCAGTCTTTCAATCAGCAGCCAAGCCTGTTAATTGTCACCACCCAGGGATTCCTGGGAACAAGAGTTCTCGTATTTATGGGCCAAGTGAGAAATGTGGGGAAAGAAAAAATGCTTACCTGCTCCAGCTACTGTATCCATGCCCTTATCCCATCCATGTAAGGACAGTATTGTTTACATTTGACATAAAATAAAATGTGAATTTTCAAAGGATATTATTAACATCTCTGAAAGGGCAGACAAGTAACACTGCATGTGATTAGCTTTGTTAGATTTCTAGACAAATTAACAACAAACCTTTGCAAGAATACTTCATAAAATGCAGTGGGGAGATTAGCCTGTAAATTCAGTATGTTCCAAAGTTCCTTAGATAAAAAGACTGGGAAGAAAGCAGCAAAATATTAATAATGATTCTCTCTGGGTAGTGAGGCTTGGGATCATTATAATTTTCTCTTTCATGTTTTTCTGTATTTTTTTAAATTTCTACAATGAGCATGGATGACAGTGGCGATTATATTTAACATTTTTGAATGAACACTAAGCACTTTACTTGGATTTTTTTTTTCATTTGGTTTTCATAGCCCTTTGCAGGAGACCCTATGATTATCCCCATTTTACAGATGAGAAAATTGAGGGGCAGAGAGATCACATGACTTGTGCAGTGTCCCATAGCAGGTTGAATGGAAGAGTGAGCCTTGTCGTATTTACCAGTTGCAAAGGGGACAGGAAGTGCTGTGGGAAAAGAGCCCCTTCCGTGTGGATCAGTGACTAACCCCAGGAACCACATGCCTTGTTCACAAGTGACCTGAGTAGTTGCGCCTTTCGTTACAGTGCTTGGTCACCTGCGGAAAAGGGAACAAGCACCGCCAGGTCTGGTGTCAGTTTGGCGACGATCGATTGAACGATAGAAGCTGTGACCCCGAGAGCAAGCCCGCCTCCACGCAGACCTGTCAGCAGCCGGAATGTGCGTCCTGGCAGGCGGGTCCCTGGGGACAGGTATTTTGAATGATAAGGTTCTTAGCTACATTCTTTCTTTCTTATCTGGAGAGAGCTTGGAGAGGGGCATTCCAGCGGTGGGTATTTAACCCGGGATCTAACCGCCATGCATGTGGCCTGCACTGTAGCTCTGTGATGCTGAGTCAGGCATGCACAGCTGTGCAGCCGAGGGTTGCCGCCTGCCCTCCTGGAGCTAATTACTCCGTTTACAGTCCCACGCGCATGTCTGTGCCGTTTGGCCTAAAACTGTAGCTTGAGCACGCGAGCATTTGAACAAATTCACAACAGATTTCGCGTCTGGCTGATGTTATCTTCTGGCGTGCCTCTGTGGGTCGGCTGTAAAATGCAATCCAGCACCAGAGTGTTTGGCAGGAGGTGCTGGCCTGGGATTCAGAAGGGATATTTTAGCTTCCGGTATGACAATTCCAAAGCTGACCTCCATGGCTCCATCAAATCCATCAGACTCTGCTAACAGACGTCGTTAGAGGAAAGGTTGCGGAATCATCACTCTTTAAAAGAATAATTTCCAGCTCACCCAGTCTGCTGGTCCCACAGTCCTAGCTTGAACCATTCTTAAAGGGAAGAGTGGACGTCTCCCTCGGCCTTGCATTTTAGAAGCCACAACTCTGGGGATTAAGCCTTCCTAATATAGAAGCAGAGGCGCTTCAAGCTCCCCAGAGAGGTAGAGCAGCTGTCTGCTGTCACTTACGTAATCTCTGGAAGAATGGCTCTCCCTCCACCTGACAAACAGCAGCCACTGTGGTGTTCTAGCTGTGTCTTCATTTCCGAGGGGGCGTGCAGTAAGTGAGGGCAGCTTTATGACTGCACCATCACAGCCCCCACTGCTGCTGCTGGCACTCTTCTGATCCTGCCCGCTGGGTGTGCAGCGTCTCCAGTCAGAATGACCACTGAGTGAACAGAGAGACTCCACCTACACACCCAAGCCCTGCCTCCTTTTTTTGACACCTGCCTAGCTTTTAGGGGATAGTAAAAAGAAGAGAGCATAGCTCCGGGTCACTGACCAGATTTGGGATATAACACCTGTTTGAACTGATAACCCTATTTTTTTAATCCATGTCCACACTAGATCAATTCTAGCCCATCCTACAGCCAAAGATTTGCTGTTCCTTTAGACTTGAAATTCTAGGAAAAACAGAATTTTATTTTGGTAAAAATATATAACAGAACATTTGCAGATTCAACAATTTTTCACGTACAGTCGAGTGCTATTATCACATGCGTCATGTGCGGCCGTCACCACTATGTATTTCACTAATTGATTTTTAAAATATTATTTAAGGGTAATGCATGGTAATTACAGTAATTTTAAAACACGCAATTCAGAAAAAAGAAAACACACACATTCCTAACCCTATTCTGTAGAGATTACTAGCGTTAGCACATTTATTTATTTTCTTCCAATATTTTTAAAACTAATATTGGGAATGTACCTGTGTTTTTTAAATTCAGGTGAAATTCACGTAACAAAAATTGGCCGTTTTAAAGTGAAAATTCTAGTGGTATTTAGTACTTTGATAATGCTGTGCAACCACTGCCTCTGTCGGATTCCAAAACGTTTCGTCGCGCCAAGATAGAACCCCACACCCATTAAGCGTTTGCTCCCGTTCTTCCCTCCCCGCCCCCACCCCGGCAACCACCAGTCTGCTTTGTGTCTGTGGAGTTACCTGTCCTGCGTATTCCGTATAAATGGAATCATACACTGTGTGGCCTTTGTATCTGACTTCTTTCACTTAGCGTAACGTTTCAGAGGTTCATCCATGTTACAGCAGTCCTTCATTCGTTCGACGGCTGAATAATGTTGCACTGTGTGTGTATATGACAATTTATCCGTTCATCTATTGATAGACATTTGGGGTGTACCTTCTGGCTGTTGTGAATAATACTCCTGTGAATCTCCCTGTGCAAGTATCTGTTTGAGTACCTGTTTTCAGACGTTTCGGGTATATACCTAGGAGTGGAATTGCTGGATCATATGTTAATTCTTTTTTTTAAAAAAAAAATATTTTATTGTGCTTTTGGTGAAAGTTTACACAGCAAATTAGGTGCCATTTAACAATTTCTACACGAATTGCTCAGTGACATTGGTTATATTTTTCACAGTATGTCAACATTCTCATTATTTCCATCTGGTTGTTCCATTTCTAGTAATCTAGTTTCCCTACCCCCTTACATTCTCATCTTTGCTTTAGAGTAATTGTTGACCGTTTGGGTTCATATAGATGATTTTTTAAAAGGAGCTCAGTACTCATGGGTGATCCACTTTATTTTCTGAGCCAATCTGTTACACAGCTAAAGGGGGACCTCAGGGCATAGTTCCCATTCAAGGTTTAAAGAGTGTCTCAGGGTGATAGTCCTGGGGAATCCTCTAGTCTCCACCAGTCCAGTAAGTCTGGACTTTTTAAGAATTTGAGCTTTATTCCACATTTTTCTCCCATTCCATCGGGATCCATCTATTGTGGCCTTGATCAGAATGGTAGGTAGTGGGAGCCGGGCACCATCTAGTTCCTCTGGTCTCAGGGTAGATGAGGCCATGGTTACTGTAGACTAGTTTATTTTCTGAGTCTGTGGTTTTCTCCTTTGTCTTTTGCTCCAGACAAGTAGAGACCAATAGTTGTATCCTAGATGGCCACTCACACGCTTTTAAGACCCCAGACACTACTCACCAAACTAAAACATACACTTTATAAACTATATTATGCCAATTGATTGAGTTGCCCCATGAGACTATGGTCTGAAGCCTTCAAACCCAGAAAAACAATCCCATGAGTTGTTTGGTTATGTCTTAGAAGTATCTGTAACTGTGCCCCCTATGAGTTTTATTATATATATGAATATATATGCATGCACACACGTACATGTAGACACATATATTTTTTGGTTCTTGTTGCTGTTGTTGCAAATTTATAGATACCACAGCATTTACCAAAAACATCTTTTTTTCCTATGTACTTCTTAGTGAGATAATTGACCTTGATCAAGCTGTGCACATTTCATCCACATTCAATGTTACCTTTCCCATCACCAAAAATAACAAGTGTCTACTATCTGGAGAGTGACTCCCCCTGTTCCCCCCCACCCATCCCTGGTAACCACCAATGAAAGTCAGTTTCTGTATATATACCTATTCTTGACTTGGGACTTGCCAACCTCTACAACGGTGTGAGCCATTTCCTTGACATTAATCTCTATCTCTCCCTCTCTGTCTACATGTATATGTATATATGTATGTATGTATCTGTATACGCTTCACTGGTTTTGCTTCTCTAGAGAACCCAGCGTAAGACAGTTGTTTTCTGATTTTTGTTTTTTTTATCAGTGCCATTTTAGCAGCGGTGAGGTGCTATCTCATTGTAGTTTTGATTTGCATCTTTTTAATGGCTCGTGACGCGAGCATCAAAATTGGGAGCATCTTTTCATGTGTTTGTTGGCCACTTGGATGTCCTCTTTGGAGAAGTGTCTGTTAATATCCTTTTTTGATTGGGTTGTTTGTCTTTTTATTTTGGTTGAGTTGTTGAAGTTTTCTATGTATTTTAGAGATTAGACTCTTATCGTGTAGGTCGTTCCCGAAGATTTTTTTCCCGGTCTGTAGGCTGTCTCTTTCCTCTTTTGATGAAGTCTTCCGATGAGCCTAAGTGTTTAATTTTTACGAGGTTTCCCCGTTTAATTTGTCTTCTGCAGTTTGTGCATTTATAGTTGTGTTTGATAATCTATTTTTTTTAATTAGGTCGCATAATTTTGTCCTTACGTTTTCTTCCAAGAACTTTATAGTTTTAGGTTTAACATTTAGGTCTTTGATCCATTTTAAGTAAGTTTTTGTGCATGCTATGAGGGATGGGTCTTATTTCATTTTTTGGCAAGTGGAAGTTCAATTTTGCTAGCACTATTTGTTAAAAAGACTGTTTCTTCACCATCGAACAGACTTTAACCCCTTGTGGAAAACTCATTGCACATCTATGGATGGATTTATTCCTTGGTTCTCAGTTGTATTCCGCTGGTCTATGTGTCTGTCATTGAATCAGTACTAGGCCGTTTTAATTACTATAGCTGTGTGGTATACTTTGAGATCAGGAGTGTGAGGCCCTCTACTTCGTTCTTCTTCTTTGATGTTTCTTTGGCTATTTGGGGACTCTTTCCTTCCCATTTAAAGTTGGTGATTAGTTTTTTCATTTCAGTAAAGAATGTTGTTGGAATTTGAATTGGGACTGCTGGGTCGTATGGTAATTCTGAGTTTTAATTTTTTGAGCAACGCCAGGCTGCTTTCCACAGCAGCTGTGCCATTCGTATTTCCACCAGCAATGCACAAGCATTCCGATTTTTCCACATCCTTGCCAGCACTTATTATTTTTTAATAGTAGCCATCCTAGTGGATGTGAAGTGGTATCTCATTATGGTTTTGATTTGAATTTCCCTAATGACTGACAAACCTTGGTGGCACAGTGGTTAAAGTGCTGAGCTGCTAACTGAGAGGTCGGTGGTTCCAATCCACTAGTCAGCTCTGCAGGAGAAAAGACTGGCAATCAGCTCCCGTAAAGATTTACAGCCTAGGAAAACCTATGGGGCAGTTCTGCTTCATCTGATGAAGTCACTATGAGTCAGAATTGACTCTACAGCACACATCAACAACAACGACTAATTATGTTGAGTGTCTCTTCACCTGCTTGTTGGCTATTTGTTTATCTTCTTTGGAGAAATGTCTGTTCAAGTTCCATGCCCTTTTTAAAATTGGATTCCTTGCGTTTGTATTGTTGAGTTGTAAAAGTTCTTTAGATATGTTGGATACTAGACCCTTATCAGATTTATAATTTGCAAATATTTTCTCCCATTCTGTTGGTCATCTTTTCACTTTCTTAATAATGTCCTTTGTTGAACAAAAGTTTCCCATTTTAATGAACTCCAAATTTATCTATTTTTTCTTTTGTTGCTAATGCTTCTCATGTTATATCTAAAAATCCATTCCCATATCCAAAGTCATGAAGATTTGTCCTGTTTTCTTCTAAGAGTTTTAAAGGTTTAGCTCTTATATTTAGGTTATTGATCAGTTATGAATTTCTTTTTTTTTTTATTGTACTTTAGATGAAGGTTTACAGAACAAATAGTTTCTCGTTTAAACAGTTAGTACACATATTTTATGACAATAGTTAACAACCCCACAACATGTCAATACTGTCCCTTCTCGACCATGGGTTCCCTATTACCAGCTTTCCTATCCGCTCCTGCCTTCAGTCCTTGTCCCTGGACTGTTGTGCCCCATTGGTCTCATTTTGTTTTATGGGGCTGTCTAATCTTTGGCTGAACGGTGAACCGCGGGAGTGACTTCATTACTGAGCTAAAAGAGTGTCCTGGGGCCATACTGTCAGGGTTTCTCCAGGCTCTGTCAGGCCAGTAAGTCTGGTCTTTTTTTGAATTTAATTCTTGTATAAGGTTTGAGATTGGAGTCCAACTTCATTCTTTTTCATTGGGAATCCCATTGTCCCAGCACCATTTGTTGACCCGTTGAATGGTCTTGGTACCCTTGGAACTCTCAATTCTATACCATTGGTTTGTATGTCTGTCGTTATGACAGTACCACACTGTTTTGATTACTGTAGTTTGTAGTAAGTTTCTAAATTGGGAAATGTGAATCCTCCAACTTTGTTCTTATTTTTGAAGATTGTTTTGGCTAACTGGGGACTCTAGCAATGCCATATGCATTTGAGGGTCAACCTTCCCATTTCTGAAAAAAAAAAAAAAAAAAAGATTATTGAGATTTTTGATAGGGATTATGTTGAGTCTGGAGCCCTGGTGGCATAGTGGTTAAGAACTCGGCTGCAAACCTCAAAGTCGGTAGTTGAAATCCACCAGCTGCTCCTTGGAAACCCTATGGGGCAGTTCTCCTCTGTCCTGTAGAGTTGCTATGAGTCAGAACCAACTCAACGGCATCCAGCAACAACAACATGTTGAATCTGTACTACACTTTGGGTAGTATTGCCATTTTAACAATATTGTGTCTTCCAATCCAAGAACAGCATTATCAGTGAATACTGTGACGCAAGAACACAACACTCCATACTGACATGTACCAGCCTTTCTATTCGTTAGCATTCCCCTGATTGCTGTTTTTGATTAGATTTCAGAATTCTGAAAGAGTTGATTCTGTCAGTTTTGTCACCTTTAACGGTTGCTACAGAGGGGGGACTAATTCTTGGAACTTCCTACTCTACCGTTTCCGTGACATCACTCCCTCTATCTGTTGTTTTTAACTGCTTTGTATATCGAACAATGTGCCTGTTGGTGGCTGTGTTGCTTTCTTTACTGCCTGTATGTCATGATGCATTTAACTAACTCTTGGTTGCTGTACACTTAGGTGGTTTCCAAAATTTGACCCTTTATAAACAATATGGCAAGGAGCATCCATGTACAAAATTATTGATGCGAACTCTGATTATTTCCTCCGGATAATTTCCCAGAAGTCATATCAGGTCGCAAACCTCTATTCAGTACCTATTTTGGCCATGGTGCTCTACTAGGTATTCTGTAAAAGCCGCAAAAATGATGGAGACACACTCCCATCCTCCCAGGGATTCACAGTCATGGAGTTGAACCCTAACAAATATCATTCCACTGGAGGCAGAAGTCATTCCAGGTGTCATCGTGATAATTGATGGGTATAATCTGTACACAGCAGGATTGTCCACGTTCACCTCATTTCTTTGGGTGCCAGCCCTCTAGCCCACCGTGATGGAAATTTTTTTCTGCTGCAAAATGTTATGAGGAACGTAAGGGAGAGAGGAGACTTGCTGAATTGTGTCTACTTTTGTTTTCTTTCTTTCCCCAGTGCAGTGTCACCTGTGGACAGGGATACCAGCTCCGAGCAGTGAAATGTGTCATTGGAATTTACAAGTCAGTGGTAGATGACAATGACTGCAGTGCAGCAGCTAGACCAACGGACAGTCAGGTGAGTCCTTTACCCAGGGCTCGGGTGTGGGCTCTAAGATGTCCACAGTTGCCAGCGGTTCCGTCAAAGGTGAAGTCCTTTCATTGGCACATATGTAGGTGGAGCAACCAGTTGATCAGCTAAATTGTCCGAATTTACTTATTTGTTGATTGGCTAAATTGTCCAGATTTACTTATTTGTTGTGTTTAGAATCTAATATTTTGATGTACCAGTTTTGTTCTTTCTGGTTATTTGAAGTGTATGTAGGTTTGATTCTAACACTTACTGGGGGCAAATGTTGGTTGTTGGGTTTTGTTTTCTCAAACTCAGTTTTTAGTTTTTTTTTTTTCCATATTTCAACGTGGGGGTTTAGTAAAGAGTGTCGTATATTCAGCAGTGCTGTGTTAGAGCTGGCTTGTACCAACTCGCAAGAGGCAACTGGTCTGTTTTCAGGAATTGTGCAAGCTGATTGTTAAACATAGCCATTATTAAAAATTAAAAATATAAGCCTTTAATAAATTACATTAAAAATGAAGATGATAAACACTCAAAACTTATCACTTTCCCATTATTTTACTACGTTTTGCTATTACTTGTGCTCTGGGGTTATTTACACCTATTGTACCTGTATGGTGAAAACAGTACATGATAAAGTGCTGTTGCACATCTTTCCCCAAATCTGTACGCAGTGACGTCCGGTCGGCAGCTTGAAATCGACCAGGGTGGGAGCAAGCAGCAAATGCTACAGCTCAGGGCCCGATTTATTGTTTGGTTGATTGTCTAGACCTAAGAACGTGATGGAGAAAATGTCAGTAATGCAGATTAAACTTCAAGGAGTCTCGTGTTTATAGTGTTACATTGTGAATAGCGCAGAAAATAAGGAAAGATCCTTCTGGTCTTCAGAAACTATTACCTGATTCGGCAAAGAAATCGTTGGCGTTATTGGTGAATGAGTGTTTTGACGTACGTCTTTATTGATTCACTTTCATCTCCCACTTAAATATAAACGAAAATACCAAATAAAATAGCATTTGTGTCAGAATCACACTCGTTCAGCAGTTACCACCATGGTTTAGCCATGGATTCAAGAGTTCGGCAAACATCTACCAAAGTATTCGGTGAGAATCGATTGGCTGTATGGAATTGACAATAAAGAATTGTATATTTTATTATTTGTGGATTGTGTGTTATGCATCCTTTAAATCAGTAAAATTTATAATAAATAAATATATATACACATATATACGTATGTGTATGTGTGTTTGGTGTGTGTGAGCATACACACATATCCACACACACACATACTCCTTTTTTCTCAAGAGAGCCAGCCAGTAATCATTTACCAGCACACCACGCTGTGGGCCTTCAGTTTGGCCTGGTATGTGTAAAGTCAGTGTGTAAAGAGAAGACGGGGTTTGCTCTCCAGCTTTACTAGTTGTTGAAGACAGGATTCGAACCCAGACTGTGCCCAGAACTCACGTTCTGAGGCCCCAGGCAGCCGAAGTACTGCCTCCATTCCGAGCACTCCCGGTTTGTGGTATTTCAACGTGTGTTGTTGCTGGATGAGCGATGGTGTTTCCGGCTGCTGATCAGTTAACCAGACAGCACTTGTGACTTGTGTGATCCTTACTTTTATTATTTTATCAAAATGTTCTAAGTTACAGTTTGACAAATGCCTGAGAAATGTTAGCTAGTACGTTTAAAACAGTCATGGATGAGTTACTCCCTTAGAGGTTCAGAACGCACTTCTCTTAAGTTATTCCACGATATCCATTTACTAGGGGGCAGCTCCCGTGGCTGCAGTGTGGGGATAATTTCTTCAGTTTGTGAAAAGTTTCCTTGGCTTTCTTTGGGCCGTGGGCAGAGGAGCAGGCAAGGCCTGTAGCCACAGAACCAAATTCCATGTTCAGTTTATAACTTCCATAAGGCAAGGACCCATCAGTCACATTCAGCTCTGAACCCCCAGCACTTCACACTGTGCCTGGCACATCTTAGTCATTCAATGAACATGTATGAAATCAAAGAAATTTGCTAACCTCTGAGGTGGGAATGACCGTGAGCAGGTCTGTACTTCCCTTTTCCCATCTGCAAATACGGGAAGATTATCTACACACAAATGACCTCAACTCATCATGGGCCTTTCCTCTGGAAGATTCAAGGATGTTACATAAACTCCAGGCACTGATGGATTGAATACACCTCTTATATCTAGATTAGACCTTCAGGGTCTCAGGAGTTATCTTTAGGTAAACAGAAGCAAGTTCATGATTAGCAAAATCTTATTAGAAAACAAACTGAAATGTGAGAACAAAATTTGACCTTCAGGATTTAGAAAAATTAACTATTTTAAAGTGATAGCCTTCTTTTTACCAACTTACATGTCATTCTACAGTATTTTTTTCACTTTCCACAAGAACAAGTATATAAAAATAGTTTCAAAATTCAGTAAATAGACACCTGCCCTGTATCAAGGCACTCATAAAATACCTCACGTTATATCCAGTTTCAAAGTTGAAGAAATTGGGGCTGAGAAAAGTCTTATGACTTGCTCAGTCACACAGATATCTGAGGTCTTCTCTTAGAATTCTTAGTCCTCGTAATTTTATGCAGCATGACCACCGAAACGTGCATTGGCTTGAAGGTAACTGTGACTTCTTTCTTTCCCTCTCACGTCTAGGACTGTGAGTTACCATCCTGTCACCCTCCCCCAGCTGCCCCAGAAACACGGCGAAACACGCACCGTGTACCAAGAACCCAGTGGCGATTTGGGTCTTGGACTCCAGTAAGAACTAGAATGGAAGCAGTGGAGTGGGAGGGAAGGGGAGGCAGATGGTCTCTGGCATGACTACAGAAGCTGGGGTATTATCCAGGATTTGACTGTTTCAGATAACATATCTGCATTATTTTACTCTAATGTCCAGTGCTCAGCCACTTGTGGGAAAGGGACCCGGATGAGATATGTCAGCTGCCGGGATGAAGACGGCTCTGTGGCTGATGAGAGTGCCTGTGTAGCCCTCCCTAGACCCCTGGCAAAGGAGGAGTGCTCTGTGGCCCCCTGCGGGCAGTGGAAGGCCCTGGACTGGAGCTCGGTAAAGCGGGTGCATTCTTTGCAGCTGGGAGGGGGTTTGGGAAAGCACAGAGGAGAATGAATACTGAGTGTTGGCAGATACCAATGGGTAATTTTCAGAGCTGGGCTTAGATTATGATTTAAGTTATTCTGCTCCATATATAGGCAACTGGTATGAATTTTAGGTATGCAAGGAATGACATATTTTCAAGAAATATATAAATCAACTTACAGTCTACTTGAGCCCCCACCCTATTGGGCTGATGGGAAATCCCAGTCTTGCATCGCATCAGAATATAGAAGGCTTTTAGAGTACCAAAGGTGGAGGTATGGTGAGGGATGGGCCTCTTATCTGGAGTCTGGGTGTCTCCTACATCCTTATTTTCCAAGCTCCTTTGACCCCTTGAAGTTGAGTGGCTCTTGGTTTCCCTGAAGAAAGAGTGAGAAGTGGGAATCTTCACCTAGTGCTGTGGGTCCAGCTTCTGTTCATACCAAGCTCCATCGATGCTGAGGTCTCACTGTCCCCTTGGGCACTGCTGGAAATTGATGGCTGAGTCTCCTCCTCTCTGGAGCTCACCAGCCTTTGTCTCCTTCCCTGTCTAGCCAAATATCCCTTCTTTTACACACCATTCTCCCACTCCCCCTCCGCCTTCTGAGATGGTCTTCATCGCCTCTAAAATAAACTTGGGCTTTTATCAAAGTAGAACCTTTGTCTTCAGGCAGCTTCCTCTTTCTGCCTTGCACAAATCCCAGAGTCCAGGAAATACAAAGCTTGGGATGGGTGAGGAGAGGGTGTAAGGAAAACAGATTAATGTCGCAATAAATACCACAGCATATGTATAAAATTTGAAAGGCAGAGTCCAAGAGCCATGCCAAAATCCAGACACTGACATTTAGTGGTGCATGACCTTGAAAGTCAATTTCCTCTGCTGTTAAAAGAGCACCAAAGAGATGACCTACCTTCTAAGGTTGTTGTGAGTATTATTTGAGATTATATATGTTAAATGCCTCGTAAAAAAATAAGCGCTCAATAAACGGTAGAGAATCTCACTCTCACGCCTTGAGCATTCAAACATCCATCCATCCATCCGATTCTTGTCTAGTCACCAGATATTTGTGAAAGCCTACCGTAGAAGGAGCAGTGAACAATGAATAATACATTCCCTGCCTTCTTGGAGACTATTCTAATGGAGGAGCCACTCAGTGAACAAGTAACTAAATAAGTGTGTAGTATAGCATCAGATGGGGTCCGGGTGGTGCAGTGGGTAAAGCTCCAGCGTGCTGTGGCTGCTAACCAAAATGTCGGCAGTTCGAATCCACCAGCCACTCCTTGGAAACCCTATGGAGCAGTTCTGCTCTGTCCTATAGGGTCTCTATGAGTTGGAATCGACTTGACAGCAATGAGTTTAGTTTTGGTTTATAGCAACAGATACTGATGAGTACAAAAAAGCCATCACAGAAAAATAAATAATGGCATAGGAGAAGATGGGATGCTCTTTATGATAGGGTGGTCAGAAGAGGCCTGAGTTTGAGCCTGACCCGAATGAAGTGAGGGAGTGAGCCACGTGGATGTCCACGTGGTATAAGCAGGCCAAAGACCCTGAGATGGCAGTGTTCTTGGAGTGCACAGGAAACACCCAGAAGGCCGGGGTGGCTGGAGCACAGGGAGTAGAGAGTGATAGGACATAGCCAGAGGCCACGGTAAGGACTTTGGACATTATTCTTCATGAATTGGGAAGCTGTTGGAGGGAATGACATGATCTGACTTTTGTTTAAAAGGTGCCATGTTTCATGATACGTAGACAACAGGGTAGGGGTGGCAAGATTGTAAAGAGGAGCCCAGCTGGAAGGCCATCGCCGTAGTGCGGGCAAGAGAAGATGGTGGCTTCGACAGGGGGCTGACGCCGGAGACCGAGAACTGGTCTGATTTGGGATCTGTGTTGGAGACTGAGCTGACAGAGCTCCTTAATGAATTGCATGTGGGGTGGGAAGAAAAGAGAGGAAACAGGGATGACTCTGAGGTGTTTGTGGCCTGCTCATCTGGCTGAATGGTGGGCCAGTTGCTGAAAATTCACATTCATGAATTTATGACCGCCGGCCCTTTCTCTTTCTGCACGTCCATTGTAGTGCTCCGTGACTTGTGGGCAAGGTAGGGCGACCCGGCAGGTGGTATGTGTCGACTACAGTGACCACGTCATCGATCAGAGCGAGTGTGACTCAGACTACATCCCAGAAACTGAGCAGGACTGTGCCATGTCACCGTGCCCTCAACAGACCCCAGACCCTGGCCTGGCTCAGCACCCTTTCCACAATGAGGACTATCGCCCCAGGAGTGCTAACCCGAGCCGCACCCACGTGCTCCGTGGAAACCAGTGGAGAACCGGTCCCTGGGGAGCAGTGAGTATCCACTGAAGTCTCTCCCTTCTGTCCTTTCTTCTCTTTCACTTGAGGCGGGGCTTGGGGAATACAGGATGGAAACACCTTTGGTTCATCTTTTTTGTCACAAGGGATTGACAGAGTCCATTTTCATTTGTTTTGGATGAATTATAATGGGTTAATTGCAGTCCCTGAAAAGATGCCACAGGATACTGTCTGCATGCACCTGTGAACTGCCCTGACTTCAGGGGCCGGGGGTGTCACCGTCTGCATGCACCTGTGAACTGCCCTGACTTCAGGGGCCGGGGG